ATCCCATTAGAACAAAAATTTAAAAGGGAACACCATGGCCAATTTTTGGCTCCAAGTGGACCAGCCTGCCTTGGCGAGGAGCCTCAAAATCTTCTCTAAAAATATTTAAGAATATTTAGATAAGTTTTATTGTTTTTTTTTTTCAAAATTCTGTAGAGTTTTCATTAATTGATATTTGAACTTAAAATCTTTATTTGTTCTTCCACGACGATGTTATCTAAAAATTTAAATTATTAAAAAATAATTAAGATAAATTATTATTTATATCTAGATATTTTTGATAAGAGGTTTTGAGTCATTTTTGTGGAGGATTAAAGGGAAAGATTAGAAACTTAGAGATCTTATATCTCATTTGTTTTCTTCTCATTTTAATTAATTTTGATCTTTTACTTTCCCCATTTGCTTGGATCTTAGACAAGGGTGGAGTCAGAAAAAAAGCTTAGGTGAACTGAAATTGAATTTTTTCTTTAGTGAACTCATGCCATAAGAGATGTTCTACGCCGTGCGAGATATAGTTTAGAAAGCTAAGCTTGTGAAATTTATAACAAAGTGGATGAGATACTCTAGCAAGAAAGAACTTAGATGTCAACACTAAGATGTTCTACTAAATTTTCGTAGCTTTCTTTTCTGAAATAAAAAATCAAAGCTCCCCCAGAAAATATAAAATGACGGAAGCATGATAGGCATGATAAAATGACATATTCCCCACTGTGAGGACTTTGACCAAGTGTTGTGTCATGGTCGAAGGTGTATCGGAATGTCCGAACAATGTGCATAGTGGGAAGGAACAAAGCAAGATATTCAGGTTGGTTTTCGGATGCGGCGCTAATCAAGGCATGATGTTGCTAATTCACTTGATGGCAGCATCGCCCAGGACAAAATTTGGGACGTGGTCGGATTTGACATTGATCGATGGGATGCTACAAGTATGCGTTCGGCAGCATTGAGACTTTACTGTCCAGCTGACTTCAATCCATGAATTCAGTGGTCAAATGCAGCAATAGGGTGGCATGTGATGGCAGTTACAAGCAATTATGCATTGTTAAAGGATGAACCGCATCCTTAGCGGCCCCCACCTGCCCTGCCCTGGGTCTTGATGAAGGAGGTAAATCGCAGGTTATGCCTCCAAGGGTATAGGGTGAAAGGCTGCTTGTACACTTAACTTACCCAAGAGCCAAATCCATATTTCAGGATTCGAACCCTTGACGCGGCAGCCTCAAGCAAAGCTG